GATGGATGGATGGATGGATGGATGGATGGATGGATGGATGGATGGATGGATGGATGGACCTTCAGTTAATTAGACCCTTACCTTGCTCGATTCACATTTCCCCAAGGGATTCTAATTAATGCTACTTCTAAGGGAGTCAAGTTCACCTTCCCAACAGATGTCTTTCTGTAGGTTATCTACCTTTTCTACCCCAGCAGAAAGTTGCCAAATCATGCCTCAGTGGCCTGGAGGGAGGCTATTCCTAAAGGCCTGTCTCAGCATCAGGAGCGCCTACCCTGGGGAGGAGGGAGGCCAAGGCCATGTATTATTCTTGGTGATTCACAGTGTTAAACCGAGAGAGCAAGAATGCCTCTTTGATCATATCATTTCTTTCTTCCCAGTTTGATTTAGAGCCCAGAAAGCTGATCTGTGGCATATGATGTATCAGGTCAGGACGTAGTTCACATGGAGAATGGGGGTCTGGCAGTGGGTTATACACCAACAAGCCACTAACAGTCCTGTTGTTATCTCTGTCGGCCTTTTTCCCTTGCCCTCCCCAAGTGGCACGGGGTGGAGGGAGAGTTGGGAACGCCGTCATTTGCACTACTGGCCTAGTGCAGGGTCAGGCCTTTAGTTCCCACAGCACGGTCGTCATGGCAACACCAGAATCAAGGAGCAGGCCACCTTTTGGCTTCCTACAAAGTGCTTGTTCAGCTTTGCATAAGCTGGTTGAAAAACACACCTAGCCGGAGAGATACAGACGCCGATAGGCGAGAACTCACATGCACACATTTTAAAATCACAAAGCAAGAGGCAAAAGTTCCTTCCTACAGCTTTTAATGACCCAGTCACTGAAGCCTTATCTGTCTGCTCCCCCTTTTCCTCCTTCACCTACCGACTGTGGGAACGGGAGACAGTCACAAGACAACAAAGAACAGCCTTCCCATTTTCGAGGAGTTCTCACAGGCCTTTAAGGTCAGGTCTGCACGTTCTTGAACCACAGCTCCCTAGAATCGACAACTGTGGTTCACTGTCAGTGTGAAAGTCACACCCAGCCCCAAAGGGTGATGGGGGGATTGGACCTGGACATGCGTGGTGGAGCTTGTGGGTGGCTTCCTTGCTGGCAGCTCAGACCTGCACCAGCCTGCCCTTCCCTGGGGAACCCAGGCCCAGCACTCAGCCAGAAACTGCAGAAGCCCTGAGGAGGCCCCTCTCCGAGCGTCAACCTCTAGCAGACCCTTCTCTGGTCACCTCAGGGCACAAACCACAGTGTGAGCTGCAATGGGTAGGCTCAGAGGTCCCCAGGCCCACTCTTCCGCAGCCAGATGAGAAAAAATAAGTCCAGGGAGGTTAAGCAACTTGTCCAAAGACACACAGCCAGGCCATGGCAGAGCCTGGACTGGAATCCAAGACTCCTGCAGGCTGAGCAGACACTGAGCAATTGCTTAAGACACAGGACGCTGCTAGAGTCAGCAGGAGACCAAAGTAGATGTTAAAAACTGGGCACTGAGAACTACCAGAATCTAATGAGATTATTTTCAGAGTAATAATATAATAGTACCCATACGTTACCACGGTGAATTTGGACTATGCTGGGAAACTTCCTGGATGCTTCCCACACAGTAATTCCCTGTAACAAGAACTGTTATTACCATTTAACGGTCGGAGAAACTGAGGCTGGAGGAAATCAATTCCTTGCCCAAGACCACACAGATCCTGAGAGGAAATGTCAAGATTCTCCCAAGTCTTTCTGCCCTCAAAGCCTGAGTCTTAACTTGTTATGCTACTGACTTTCGCCAAAAGTAAGGGCAAGGGGCTGAATGGTCTTGTTTATTTTAGGTTCCCATATAGTCCGACCCTAAACTCCCAAAGAAGCGCATAAAGTTAAGACAAAAAGTATAAAACTCTCTGAGACACGTATTTTCATGAATTGACAGTAGCTTGGTTGGGCTTACATGTGGGTGGTAGAGACACTTTTCGGATTGGGCTTGGGGTTATAGGTGGGGGCGCTGTGAAGAGAATACCAACACTCTCTGTGTCTTTCCTGCCACTGAACGTAGAGCCAGAATTCTCTTCACAGGCCAGGCCAACAAAACGGGGCCTGTTTCCCCTAAACTTTAAAATCCAAAGGATTTATTAAAATTGGTTCGATGTTGACACTGCACTCCAGGGCTCATCTGAACAACCGACCGGGCTGGATTCCAGAAGGCCTAAGGAGTTAGGGAACGGAGGGAAAGATCCGAGACCCCCTACGGCGGTGGCGCGTGTAAGTTCCCTCCCAGAAACCCCTACCTACTGCCCCTACAACTAACCCCCGGCTCGCTCACCGGCAGCAAGAGAAACAATACAGGTATTTGAGACCAACAAGGGAGTTCTTTCTTCCTGGTGCTGACTCCAAGGCCAAGGACTAAAGCTTTGGAGTGGGGAGGACCTCAATTTAGTTGCCAACCTTGAGCTTAACTCTTACTGTGTGGCACAAAGCAATCGGTTCCTTTTTACCTCAGCACGTTATTGAACTTGATGAAAATGAGGGACATCGAGGCCGCTCCAGGGCAGCACCTGCACTGCCTCTCAGGGACGTGCACCATGCTGTACACGCAGCCCTGCTAACCCTGTAACAGCAGGTGGGCGTGGAGTCACCCAACTGAGCTCCCTCCCCTCCCCTAGTCTCCACTCTGCTACAGCTCATTCAGGAACTACATACACCCCTGCATGCCAGGCACTGTGCTGGGCACTTGGGACAGAGACGATCAAGACAAGATTCTTACTGCCCAGACACATCCATTCTTTTTTTTTTTTTTTTTTTTTATCCTCACCCGAGGACACTTTTCGATATTTTGTTCAGATAGAATGGGAGGGAGAGAAAGAGAGAGAGAGAAACATCAACGTGAAAGGGACACATCAAGTGGTTGCCACCCACATGACCCAACCAGGGCCGGGGACAAACTGCAACCGAGGTACGTGCCCTTAGTGGGAACCAAACCCAGGTCTCTCCGGACCGCAGGCTGATGCTCTAACCGCTGAGCCAAACCGGCCAGGGCCAGACACGTCCATTCTAATGAGACACAGACCGGGAAACACGGTTGCAATGCGGTGTGAGGCATGCCACGTTAGAGCTATGTGGAGGGGATGCAACGGGGAGTCAGAAAGGAATCGTTTGATAGGGCCAAGGAAGACTGCCAGAGAAGCTGAGACACACACTCCGTTTTGAAGCGTGACTAGGAGTTCAGCAGTGAAAATGAAAGAGACGGCGAAAAGAATACAACATGCAGAGGCACAGAGGCAGGAAATAGAGGGCCCTCGGGCCCTTCATGGAATTGGGCTACTCGTCTGTTACATCACCAGCATGGCTCCAAAGTGCAGGAATAGTCACCAGCTTTGATAACTGCACAGGCAGCTCCTCTCTCCAGCATCTTGCTTGTATCTCCATGGGTCTCTGACCCCCATGGCTCAGGTCTTCTGCTCCGAATTCTGGCCCCAAGACCCCTGGCCCAGTGACACGTTATGGACATTCTTGCCTGACCTTAATCTTCTGGACACTTTGGGGCATGATCCGTGCAATTATGAATGAGAGACATTCCTCCCTCCATCCTGCCCTGCGGTGCCCTACAGGCCAGGTCAGGCCAGCTACCCCAACGAGGGCCAGACGCATCCAAGAATCTGCAAGTTGTCTGATGGAGCTAGAGCTAAAAATTTAAGTGGGAAGTATCAGGAGACCAATCTGATTTCTGCTAAAGAGTCTGGATTTCGTCCTGCAGACATGGGAAGCCACTGAAGGGCATGCTGTAGGGGACTCAGGGGACTGGCAGTTTCTGATTTGCCTTCCCCAGTTACACTGGCGGTGACAGAGTAGGTGTGCTGGACAGAGAGAGACTGAGAAGAGGGGAAATTGACTTGGGAGGGTGCAGGCAATAGTCCAAGCAAGACTGGGGAGAGAAAGCCAGGCTTCCCTGCCACTCACTGCTGGTGCCCTGGATCAGGACCTCCTCGGGGGCAGGGGCAGGACAGACCTGGGTCCCTTTTGCTCATCTGTGTGGTTTTATAGCCTCCCATCCTGGTTCTGCTTCCTACATGTGATGCTAATGTCTATCACTATCACCATTCTCCTCTTCCTGTTCCCCTTCCTCCTCCCTCCCTCTCTCCTTCCTCCTCTCCCTCCTTGTTCTTCTCTCTTTCTCCCTCTCTTCCCCACCGTTCCCTGTTTTTCCCTCTCCCCCTCCCTTCCTCTTTCTCTCTCTTTCTGGAACACCCTGGAGCAGTAAATCTTGCCTCCTGCCTCTAGCTTAAGCCTTCCTAAAAGGAGAAAATAGAAAAGTAAAACAAAAATGCAAGCCAGACCTATAAAAATAACTGGAGAACAATCGGCACATGTCTGAGAGGCGGAATGACGCAGAAGAGTACCACTGCCCTCACCACTTTGATTCAGGAGCATCTGGGGTAAGGAGAACCAACAAAGATCGGGTCTTGCGGAGTCTGGAAATTCTGGGGTGTTTTACACATATTAAAAACAACTTCGTCATGGATTCCATCATCTCGGAGCCTGAGAAGGAAATCACAGCCCTGTCCAGTGATCCTGCCAGACAGGTAGAAACAGAGACCCATTAAACAGCACCCCTGGGCCCAAAGTCTGGCTTCCCTTGTGACCACCCAGCACCTTCCACTGGCCCAGAACTATCTTCAGTAACTATCTCTAGGTCACAGCAACCTGTTTACAGACATCTAGAATTCCCAGGCACTTTTAGGACAAGGGACTCAGGATGTTTCCAAGTGGGCAGCGAAGTCTTCGCTAAGAGAGGCCATTCCTTCAGATCTATTTATGCCGACGTAAACACTCGCCAAGGAAACAAGGCACGTGGGCATGCGCCGGCCCTGCCAGCCCCGCGGGCCATGGGGTTGCTGCAAAAGGCAACTGGAAAGTCACATGTCATAACAGTGGAAAGTACATATGCAACTATTCTTAGCCCTGGAATGTATACACTGTCTCCCTGCCCAGCAGTTCTTTCACAAAGCTCTAGAAAACTGTGAAAGCGCCTTCAGCATAAACAAATCCAGCACTCTCCCAAGACGAATCATTTGCCAGCTGAAGGAAAGGCCTGGGTTTATGGTTTCACTTGGAGCCAGAGGGAGACACTCCGGCTGGACCAGCCGGACCAGGCATCGGTGGAGAGCACTGCAGCAAAACAAGGTAAAGGTCTCTAACGTCTCATTCCTCCGCAGGTAACTGGCAGCTGTTGTTTCGTGAACCCTGCCCAGGGTGTTGTTGGGACTCTGCTGTCTATTTATCCCATCTTCAAAACAAAACCCGAAAGAATTCATGAAGCCATGTTTTTAAAACATAGCAAAGGTCCGTTTTCACCCCTTGTTTCTGTCTGGTTACCAGAGGGCCACACCCCCAGGATGGCAACCTTGGGGAATGACTAACACTCGGAAAGATGCTTAGACGAGTTGGCAGGACGCCGGGAATCCAGAGAAAGGCTCACAGACTTCTGTTGGTCAAATGCACGGACTGTTATTTTGCTTCAGGTTCACATTTCAGCCCCTGGCAACCAGTAACCTCCAACAACCTTCATCGTTTTTGTCTGTTGTTTTCTCAGATTCTCTGAAGATGTTATTTACCTGGTACCTTTCAGAGTAATCATAAGCAAAAAGAGGGGTGTCAGCTGTGAGGTCTGGAGTGTGGGTGGCCTCCCTTTCCAACCTTCACTGAGTGATATTCTCGGTGAGACCCACACACATCACGGTGAGTGGACACAGATGCTCTAAGTCTCGGAGCTGCCACAGTTAAACCCTCCAGCACATGCTCCCTCTTGGGACGTCTCCCCCTCTCTGCAGGATGGATGAGGAGTCAGCAGACGGGCTGCTCTTCAAAGACCGTGACTTCTCCTCTGACTTGTTGAGGCAGCTCAACGGCTTAAGACAAAACAGAATCCTGACTGATGTGATCGTCTGTGTGGAGGCCTGGGAGGTCCCCTGCCACCGGAACGTGCTGGCCTCCAGCAGCCCCTACTTCAGGGCCATGTTCTGCAGCAACTTCCGGGAGAGTGGAGAGGCCAAGGTCCAGCTGAGAGGCATCGACTCCACGACGCTGGACCAGCTCATCCTGTATGTGTACACTGGGGAGGTGCACATCACGGCTGAGAACGTTCTGCCCCTGATGGAGGCTACCTCCATGCTGCAGTACCCCAAGCTCTTTGAGGCCTGCTCCTCCTACCTGCAGAGCCAGCTGACGCCCAGCAACTGCCTGGGCATGGTCAGACTCTCGGAGATCTTGAGTTGCGAGACCCTCAAGAAGACAGCCAGGGAGGTGGCCCTGACGTACTTCCCAGAGGTGGCCGCGTCGGCTGACCTGAAGGAGCTCTGCGCCTTGGAATTGAGAGACTACCTCGGGGACGATGGGCTCTGTGGAGAGGAGGAGAAGGTGTTCGAGGCCTTCATGGCTTGGGTCAAGCATGACCTCCAGGCCCGGAAGCGATACATGCAGGAGCTGTTCAAGCTCGTCAGGCTTCCGTACATCCACCCGGCCTTCTTCCACCACTTCATCGCCAACGACGCCCTCCTTCAGTCCTCGCCCTCCTGCCAGGTCATCTTGGAGACAGCCAAGAGGCACATGTTTTCTTTATATGGCACCCCCAGTGTCCCAGACCTCCAACCTCCATGGCATGTCCCCCCAAGAAACTCTTACCAAGACTTCCTCATCCTCCTGGGTGGGCGGAAGGACAACCAGCAGACCACCAGGGATGTTCTGCTGTATAACAGACAGACTGACCAATGGCAGAGCCTGGCCAAACTCCCCGCCCGGCTCTACAAGGCCACCGCCGTCACCTTGCACCGCAGCATCTACGTGCTGGGAGGCGTGGCTGTGGGCGCAGAGAAGAGTGCGCCCAGCCCCCACGTCTACATCTTCTCCCTGAAGCTCAACCAGTGGAGGCTGGGACGGCCCATGCTGGTGGCCCGCTACTCCCACAGGAGCACGGCCCATAAGAGCTTCATCTTCTCCATCGGGGGCATTGGCAAAGGGCAGGAGGTCATGGGCTCCATGGAGAGATATGACAGCATCTGCGACGTCTGGGAGAGTATGGCCAGCATGCCAGTCGGGGTTCTGCACCCTGCAGTCGCTGTGAAAGACCAAAGACTTTACCTCTTTGGGGGAGAGGACATCATGCAGAACCCTGTGCGCCTTATACAGGTAAATGGCTGGTCTCTCATCATGTCAGTGCATGAGTGGGTGCCCACACACATGCACACATACAAACGCACACACATATATACACATACACACAACATGCACACACACTAATACACAATGCATATGCACATATATGCATGTGCAACATATATGCGTATGCACATGCGTACACATGTGTGTACATCTATACACACGACCTAAATATATGGACATGTGCATGTACATGCACACATGCACACATGCATACATAGGTACACATACATATAAAACATACATACAGACTTGTGATCTGCAGGGGGAAAAGGAAGAAAGAAGGAAGGAAGGAAGGAAGGCAGGAAAGAAGGAAGAAAAGAAGGAAGGAAGGAAGGAAGGAAGGAAGGAAGGAAGGAAGGAAGGAAGGAAGGAAGGAAATTAATTTAACTTCAATTAGATTTTATTCATTTATGAATTTTTTTGGTGTAAGGTTAATATATACAAAGCTATATCAGATACAGTTCTTATGCACAAAGAGTTTATCTTTATTTGGGAAAAATATAATATAGCTAAAAGTTCACGCTAGAACACATTGAATGTCAGCCATTGAAGTGCTGTCTGGCGGGTGCTTCTACCCCAGACCAGTAAGGCCTTAGTGAAGGGTACTGAAGGTTCCCAAGCATTGGTCCTCAGCCTCCTACCACATCCCCTGGAACCTGACCTCCGATCTGCTGAGTCAGAATCCCTTCGTGTGGGTCCTGGCATTTACAGAAGTGTCCAGGAGATGCGGAGGTGCGGTCAGGTTGCAGAAGCCCTGCCCTGAGTGACAGGTACATGCCTACTTCACTCACAAGCTCTCTGAGAAGTGTAATTAATAAAGACCTAAATTTCAGAATATTAAGGGTTTCCCAAGATTATGCAAGTTCTAGCAATGTCTGAAGTTCGCCTAGTAATAGGAAAAACTTGAACAGCAAGCCTCTCTGTACAGATCACCGAGGAGGCCCCGGGACTTGTTGTTCATTTAGAAGAGGGATTGTGAGCCCCGCCCACGTGAAGGCCCTGGGACCCAGGCCTGGGCAGGGAATTGCATTGCCCTCCAGGAGTCTGAGCCCACTGCAGTTTGGGTGCTTTAAGAGCACGGGAGTCAGGACACTTTGAAGGAAACTGCCTCGTTCCAGCAGACCTGAGCAGAGGGGCGGGAGAAGAGAGAGCAGGGGAGGGTGACAAGTCAGAGGGGGTGGAAGGATGTGACAGAAGCAGGTGGGTAGGCAGCCTCTCTGAGCAGACCAGTCTGCCCCTGCAGCAGCAGGCAGTCACCAGGGAGAGAGGGGTGGAGTTCCTGGGTGGGGGCAGCTGGCACAGAGGCCCTGAGCAGAAAGGGGCATAGCCATCGCCTGGAGAAACTGGAACCTTGCCAACGTCACTCACACAGACCAAGGAGGAGGAAGGACGTGTGCACCAGAGCTGGGGGGGTTAGTCCCCACAAAACCTTCACAAGCCCCCTTCCCTAGGTACCCCCTCTCCTCAGGCTGCTGCCTTGGAGCCCCTCCTGTAGAAATTCTGGAACACTCTTGTGGGATGGGTGTTCGTGGCCATGACGCTGATTGAGCAGGGCTCTCTGGGCCTTGCCCAGGATGGGGGTTTTAGTCTGAGAGTAGCAAGGTGCTTGAAGTAATCCAATTTGCATTTTTAGAAGCTCCCTCTGGGTGCCTTGTGGAGAAGATACTGGACAGAGAGAAGAGAGTTGGGGACTCTTCTACGGGTCCAGGCGAAGACAGGTGGTAGCTTGAGCTAAGTGGATGCCAGTGAAGATGGAGAAAAGTAACAAACTCCAATTTAGTTCTTTTCTTGTTTTTTTTTTTGTTTTGTTTTTCCTTGCCTTCACTTTTCCTGCCCATATTTTGGGTGCCTCCCCGACCATCTCAGCAGATTCCCAGTCTGTTCCTGATCCTGCTCGCTCACCTGAGCCCAGAGAGACAAGTTCTGCTCCCCGCCCGCCGGCTCTGGCCGCACTTCACAGACGTAAAAAAGTGCTTCTGTGTGAAGCTGGAGCCCCTCCCTCCTCTTTAAAACAATTTTTCAAAATAAAGTCAACAGATATGCTGATGGCTTTATTTCGCAAAATTATCAACTTCCTAAGAATAAACACCAGTCTCAAAAGAGCTTTTAAGTTTGCATTTCAAGAAATTCATAGTATAATCAAACAAGACCTCGCCAACCACTAACATGTGAGTGATCCTTTCACACTGCGGTGATGAGGAGAGAAGGGTCAAGTGTTCATTGGGATGCTTTTCATATCTAGTTAGCATTAGCTTTGAAATGGAAATTTTACTCATTTGGATGGAGTTTCAGAGGAAGGCTTGGGGTAACTTGATGGAGATGGAGTAGGTTGGATTTTCAGGCCCAGGTTCGGAGATTTCTTCATAGGATGGCTCATCTACACTCATGCATTTCTGCAAAAGAACTATATGGAATAGGGTTTCTGTGCAAATTGTGTGACTATGTGTACTTTTGGTCTTCAAAACAACTGTGGCTGGATGGCAGTAGGTAAATCCTTTATCATAACAAATATCATTTCCTCCACTGATCAGAAACCATCCTTTGATAACCCTGCCCCGGCCTCTCTGGGGTATTTTGAAGATTGTGAGCAAATGTTTAATCTGTAAAGAATCAAAGGATGGGAGGTAATTACTCAAGTAAATGCAACAGATGTTTGCTTTTCCTCCAAGGGTCCCACTTTTCAGTGTCACCTACGTATTTTCAGATAAAACCATGTGGCTTGACAGCCACTTTGATCATCCCTGTCTCTAGTTTCACCGACAGGGATGATCTCTACCCTTTACCGACTTAAAGTACTAACAGAAACCTCCAGAGGTCTCCTGTCTCAAAAGCTTCCATCAAGAAAGGCCACACCTACAAGAATAGAGGTTAAGCACATGGACTCTGGACTCAACCAGACCAGCCCTTCCATTCACTCTAGCTGTGTGACTTTGGGCATGTCACTTAACCTCTCTGAGCCTCAATGTCTAATCTGAAAAATGGGGGTAAGTAAAGGTAACCTACTTCTTGGATGGTTCTGCAGATCACATTTGGTAAAATGATAAAGAAAAACAATAATAAGGCCTTTAATATGATGGCAATTAAATTTCACACAGAAAGAATTTCCAGGGAAGAATACTGTGCCATTTTTCTCTGTAAATGAGTATTTTTGTTTCATCTTTTCTTCTATGAAGTCCATCCTATATCTCTAAATTTTGCCAATAAGGAACAAATTTACATTTGATATTTAAATTTTAAAATGAGAAAGTTAACAGGAAAATGTGTTCTGGGAATCGTGGTTGGCTACTGTTCCGGAGAGCGAGCAAGGAGCCCCCACCCATCGCTCTGCTCTTTCCTTGCCTCGCGCTGCTTGTTCTGCGGTCCTAGCGACTTTCAGGCATGGACTGTCCAAGAGCCTCCCTCGCCTGGCCCCACATTTACTCTTGGCTCTGAGACCCTCTCAGATACACTGGAACGTTTAGAAATTTAAACATGAGCCAGAAATAAAAATAATTGAAAAATCATTGGTTTCATGAATATCCAAGTTGCCCCACTTCTCATTACAGGAAAAAATTGTTCCAAGCAAGGTTAGCAAACACAGGCTATAACGTGTACTCTTGGTTTGTTCTATAGAAACAGCCCCTGATCACGTGGGGTCACATGAAGGCCAATTTCTACTAATATTCTTCTTTCTGTTACTTAATTATATTTGTTTATTGATAGCTGTGTTCTAAAAATTGGGGAAAAGGTGAAAAGAAAAAAGTCATTCCTATCTCACCCGCTTAATGACTACTTCTATCTTTAAAGACGTGTATCACTTTAAACTGCAGTGCATGGTTACATCTCCCTCTCAGGTTTATCACATTTCCAGAAACACGTGGTTCAAAATGGAGACGAGAATGATCAAGAATGTGTGCGCCCCTGCGGTGGTGCTTGGGGAGCGGATTGTCATTGTGGGAGGTAAGTTTGGGCAGAGGATCGCCAGGCTGGGCAGAAGCTTGGCACTAACAGATGTTTTTCTGGAAGACTGTCCTTGTAAAGTCACTTCCCTCTAGCTAGGGGGAATGTGGACAACTTGACAAAGTTCTTTTCTCATCCAGAAGTTTCTCCCTGTCTCTTTCTGTAAGCAGGAATGGAATAACACCTATTTCACAGAGCTGCTGTGATCATAAAAGGTGCTCACGTACTGAAAGCACGCAGCATGATCAGACATGTGGCAATTTCTCAAAACACGTTTGCTCTTGTTAATATTAGCTACGAATGGATCACTCCTCTGCAATCGCAGTATAGGGCCATGGTTAAGAGGTCTGGTGTGGAGGTCAGATAGATCTGGGTTCACATCTGGACTCTGCCACTCACTGGCTGTGTGCTCTTTAGTAAGTAATTACTGGTGCCTCAGTTTGCTCATCTATAAAATGGGGGTCCTCAAAGGACCCACCTGATAGGGCTGTTGTGAGGACCCATTTCTGAGTTCCCAAAGTTCCTTCTTTGGATTGTTGTAGCTTCTAGAATGAGCATGCGAGAGATGAAGAAGCCAGTGAGGTGAGAACACTGCTGGGACCAGGAGGCCGCTCTCAGTTGAAAACTGGCTTATGTGCCGCCTTCACTGGGATTAGGGATGCGGGGGCCAAACCCCATCTCTGCTGCACACTGGACCTTGGGCAGGTTACCAAAACATCCCTCGCTTTAGTTCAGATTCCAGCCTCAGTGTTAGGTGATGGCAGAGAGGATCGGACATCCCCAGACTACTGACCTCTATTCCCAGGTGAGCAACACTGACCCTGCAACATACCACTTGGCTTTCAGGTTACACAAGGAGGATTCTAGCTTACGACCCTCAGTCCAACAAGTTCATCAAATGTGCGGACATGAAAGACCGGAGGATGCACCACGGGGCTGCGGTGATGGGGAGTAAGCTGTATGTGACGGGCGGGCGGCGGCTGACCACGGACTGCAACATCGAGGACTTGGCCTCCTTTGACTGCTACGACCCTGAGACAGACACCTGGACATCCCAGGGACAGCTGCCTCACAAGCTCTTTGACCATGCCTGCCTCACTCTCCAGTGCATTCCCCACACCTCCACCTTCCCATGAGGTCGGGGAGAAATCAAGAAATCATCTTAGGCCCTGGACAGTTTGGTTCAGTGGTTACAGCATCAGCCTGAGGACCAGAGTCCCGGGTTCGGTTCCCACTAAGGGCATGTATCTCGGTTGCAGTTTGTCCCCAGCCCCGGTTGGGGTCGTGTGGGTGGCAACCACTTGATGTGTCTCTCTCATGTCAATGTTTCTCTCTCTCTCTTCCTCCCTCCTGCTCTATCTGAAGATAAATGCAAAAATGTCCTCGGGTGAGGATTAAAAAAAAAAAAAGAAATCATCTTAGTCAAGAGCTTCTATTGTAAGAGATAGAACCCAACTCCAAAAAACGTTACCCTAAACGGCTGCAGCAAGAGCTCACAAGACTGAAAGTTCCAGAGTCTGGAGGCCTGGAACCAGGCACATTGTTGGCAAAACTAACTCTCTCTCTCTCTCTGTCCTCCTCTACCTCTGCCTTTATTCTACGAACACGTGTCTTTATGCACACAGTGTGAGGACAATGGCAACTGATAAATCCAGGTTCACATTTTCTGGCTTTGCATCTTCAGGGGAAAGTTTACCGTTATCCATATAATAACCCTAAAAGAAAATCCAATGCTGATTGGCCCTTTTAAAATTCTATGCCTATCTGTTGAGCCAATCACTGTTTCCAGAGATCATGCTACTATAACTAGCTAGTCCCGGATTGTGTCCCCGCAGGTACAGGTGGGGTGAATGACTGTCGTTGACAGCCTATCTGAACTGCACATAGCGGCACAGAAGTGGTTCGCCAAAGGAAGACAAAAACCACATCTGCCCCGAACACCATGGATTGGGAACAAGAGGGCTAAGAGGCCCAAGAGGCCCTGGAAGCACTTGGTCCAGGTGGCAGCGGGAGCAATTGGTCACGACTATAGTTCTCTGATTGTAGGGCTTCAGAGCATTGGAATTCCAGGAGGTATGTGCAATTCCGCATCTAGTGCTTGCGGCATTGTCTCTGCTGCCAGAATAAAGTTTGCTTCTGCTGCCAAGTGATGTTTTTTTCTCCAGCCTCTGGGGAGCTATAAACCTGCAGAATTAATCAGGATTTTCATTTTGGTAAATGTTATGAGAATTGCTCTACTGAGGAAAGCCAATAAATTCCTTCAGAGATTACAGCAATTACTGCCCTCCCGATGCTGGGGCTCACTCTCCCTGTGGCCCTCTTTCTGTCAAAGTGCCTCCCACGCTGGCCCAGCACACACAGTCACCTGGGAAGATGTTTGACCATGGGACCGGCCCCCATTGGAGATGGACAGATAGGGATTCTCAGAGGCAAGGCCCAAAGCATCCTGGGTGGTTTTGAAAAGCATCCTGGGTTATTATAAGGTGTAGCCAAAACCACCGCCCAGCTCAGCTATGGGCACTGAAGACCTTACTATGCTGGTCCTATTCCCATCCTGTCCAGGGCAGCTGTCCCAGCCCAGCAGTGTAGGCAAAGTCCTCTCCCCGTCAATGGAAGCATCTGGAATGAGTCTTGCTTCCCTGAGTCAGGCAGAGTGTCCCCGAGCTGAAGTCTTTCTCCTCGTTCAGCTCACAGGTCCATGTTCTGGATTTTTCCTTTCTTCCTTGTTTGTATTTGTTGCATTTTAGTTTCTCCTACTGGGGTCGGAAGCTCTGCCCCAGTCCTCACACCACTTGGCTGTGGTCCAGACACCCGGCCTGGATGGTCAGCCCCTGCTCGTCGGCCTGGACGCTGTCCCCTTAGCTGCTGGTTGACCTCTTACTCCAACTGTTCTCTCTTCAGGCTCTTAATGCCACCTCTCCCAGAAAGTGTACTTGTAAAGGTGACCAGTGACTCCTACGGAGCCTACACCACAGTCCATTTTCATTTCTCCTTGAACTTGACCCGTCCACAGCATGCGGCACAGCTGACCTCTCCATCCTGAACGACCTCCCTCACTCCACCTCCAGGACACTGCGTGCCCTTCTCCTTCGCCCTGACGTTCACTGCTGTCCCCTCGTTCTCCTGACTAGGAAATGGTGGCGCTCCCCAGCGCTGCCCAGGGGCTTCCTTTACATCTGCTCTCACTCCTGGGTGAGCACCTCAGCCAGCCCCCGGACGCCACTGCCTTCCACTCTCCCTCCTTCCAGGCTCCACTGCTCCCGCTCCATCTCCACGCTGGTGTCAAACAGAAATCGCAAACTAAACAGGTTCATGCACCCCATCCTCAGCCAACCAGCTCCTCCTCTAGGCCCCCCATCCTGGAGCAGCAACACCTTTCTCCCGGTTCCTCAGGCTCAAAGCCTTGACACTCCGCTGGATGCTTCTCTCTCTCACTCCATGCCATGTGGCCCAAACGCATCAGGCCCAGCTGCACCGCCCCCGCAGCTCTGCGCCAGGCCCGAGCCGCCGTCTTCGCTCACCTGCGCTATCACAGTCACCGGTCTCTGCTTCCATCTACGCCCCGAATCTCCCCAGCACAGCAGCCGGTCTACAAACAGAAAAGGAAGTCAGCATAGGTCACTGCCTGTTTAAAATCCCCCGAAGTCCCCCCAGCTTTCTCAGGTGACCTTCAGGGACCCGCAAGGTTGTTTCCCGACCCAGCCAGCGACCTGTCCGCTTGCATCTCCTGTCTCATCCCCCACGACGTCCTCCATGCCTGCCCAGGGTAGCCACACGGGCCACCGAGCTCACACCTTGCAAGCCAGTCTGACTTTCTGTTTTCACTCTTGCTGTGTCCGCCACCTGGAAATGCTTTCCCCGGATAGCCATGGGGTTCACCCCCTCACCTCCCTGAGACAGACCACAACCACCTCCAGCCCCCCATCTCCACTGCATCTCCTCGGGGCAGCCATCCTCACCTCCTCACTGGCCTCCCAGTGAACTCTCCTGCTTAAAACGATCCTGAGGCTTCCCAGAAACCTTTGCGTAAAGCCCTCGATCCTTCATGGCCTCTGGGGCCTTCTAAGGCCCAGCACCTGCCTATCTCCCTGGCCTCGCCCTTCGCCACGCCTCCCTCCCCACCCCCGCAGCCGACTCTCCTCCACCCACCCTGTATTATTTCCCCTCCTCTCTCTCAGGCCTTCGCCTTGCAGTGGCCCCTGCCGGATACACACCTCTCACCCCCTCACCGCATGCGATTTCAATGCACACCTATACGCCAGATTAAAGGTCACTGTATAGAGGAAGCCTTCCATGCACCCCACCCCCACCCCGGCCTGGGTCAGCTCTCCCATTCAATGTCTCCATCGTCCCTTATACTTTCTGTTTGTTTTTTAAATCTTTCAGATGCTTGTCCTATTTGTGGTTACTGTCTTCCCCTCTAGACCCGTATATCTGCCCTGTTCTCTGCATTCCCAGGGCTGGACTCAGTGTCAGCCACATGTATGTAGATTTTCAGTAAATACATGGTCAATGGATTAAGAATTAGTCGGTGAATATAGAGGCTGAATCTACAGAGGGCCGTGCGGGGCACCAGTTGAAGCAGTTCAGACACTGCTCAGGGGTGATCTGTCCTCTCTTTCCTCCCCCTTCCCTTCCTGGACCGAGGCTGGCAAGTCTGGGTCGGAGAAGAGAAGGCCAGGCCAGAGGGGAAAGGGCTCTGTCTGCAGGATCCTATTTGTCTGGCATTAAAAGTAGGATCTTGCTGTCGTTAAACTCCTTCGGGGCTCCAACAATCCTCCGTCAGAGACTTGCTAACGCCTCGACTTTCTTTCCCCTCCGTCTCAGGCCACCCCTCAAAACGCTGCCAGCATCTGCGGCTGCTCAGAGCTCGCCCAGGTCTCCCTGGGGCACAGAACAACGATGTCAGTTGCCCACTGGGTTTCACACAGAGAGATGGCACCAGCGCCAAACACATTCGGACGCACGTGGCTAGCCAGCGTCGCGAATCAGATAAGACACCTCTGTGGTTGGTACAGTCACACTGCTGGGCACCCCGCTGGCCACCCCCATATCTGAACTGGTTGCAAAACAACCCTCAGGACACGAGGCATCCTTTCCAATCTGCTGAGGATGATTCCACCAAAAAGAGAGAGAGAGAGAGGGTTTTGGCTCCAGGTTTCCTTGTTCTCCTTGGCGGAGCAGAGAGTCACAGTACAGAGCGAGGTCAGAATATATTTAGCAAGCAGCAGTTAAACTGTAACATTTTAAGTTAAAAAATGTCAACTCTCCTAATGAATCATTTCAACAGGCAACAAAGAAAAGGGGAAAATTGAAGCAGAGCAAGGGCTAAGCAAGAAAATACTAACAAAAATATCGGACACCCTGTCCCAGCGTGGAGCAGTAAGCAGGGCAGGAGCCCCAGCGGAGAAATCAGTGGCGGAATGGAGAAGCTGCAGCACGGAGGGGCAGTGGGCCCTGGAAACCTCTCCCAGCCCAGCTGGCTCCCAGCAGGCAGACGTCTCGGGAGAATTCCCCCCAGCAGGCCCTCACTGACCGAGACGTGGCCATCCTCTGGCAAAGCAGCAGGGCACCGGTTGGCATGCTGGCACCACCCTGTTCAGACCCTTCCTGACTCTCTCCCCAGGGGCAGTGGTAGCTCCGAAGGTGAACCCCCTGACCTGCAGCCTCCAGTCTTCCCTCCAGGTGGTCTCTTCCTTGGGACCCTGCCTCTTCTGCATGCACTCTCTGGTGAACAGCAGAAAGTCCCCAGTGTCCACATCTTAGGGTGTCTGACACCCCATGCCCTACTCCAACATGCCCATGCCTCCGTGCCTTGGCATGTGTTAGTCCGTGTGTGAAGATGCCTTTCGCCTTCTCCAACCTTTCTCCCTTCCCTTCCTTTGTTCCAGCTCCTTTCATATTGCAGCACCATCGAGACTTGTTGAATGGAACTGAAGGGGAGCTCTTTGGGGGGCAAAGACAGAGTCTGGTACCCTATGAACTACTAGGCCAAGTTCGGTCAGTACCTGGCAAACAGACGATGCTGCCATATTTGTGGAATGATTAAGTGGGTACGAAAATGAATGGGTCCTAAACACCCCTGGAGTGTCCGGGCTGCTCTGGGTGAAATCAAGGGCTTAATAATCAGACACATTGGGCCATGGCCGGTTTGGCTCAGGGGTTAGAGCATCAGCCTGTGGACTGGAGAGTCCCCGGTTCAGTTCCTGCTAAGG